TTCCCAAACATTCATTCTCTCCACACTTACCCTATTAACATAACCTTTACACTCAACTTTGAATCTATTAATGTAAAATAAATCTCAATGGCAGATAAGATCTACTTATGGACTGATGCCAAAAGATAAGGAAGTAATATAAACTTTTTTTAGAAATTGTAGCACCTCAAAACATTTCTTTGTCTCCCATTCAATGATGTTGTTTAACACTTATCAAGCAACCCTCTAACAAACATAATAAATTATGTTATTTTTTGAACCCCTGCAACCTTTTTAAAGGATCATATTATGAGATATGACTTTTACTTATATTCCTATGGGCTATGACAGCAGTGGTCTTCATTGCAATTCCTTGATCTGGATTCCTTCAAAATTCTGATGTGACCTTCTAGGAAGCACTGAAATGTCCTTATTGTCTTTACTGCAAACAGGGAAGCTTAAGTTATCTTCATACAACTGAAAAACTTGAAATTCATGTTCCCAAGAAATGTGACTCTGTGATACCATTTTTACTTCTTATATAACAACGAATACCAAAATCAACATACTCCATTGAAGAGAAATAAAAAAAAAACAGACAACTTGAAATAAAGCCAATGTCTACTAAGGCATCACTATTCCAGATAAACAAAGTAGATAAAAAAAAAAGTAATCACAAATTTGTGTATTCATTTAATGTTTATGTGCAAGTGCATGTACAGAACCTGGTGAATGTGTAAGCACATATGTATAACCAAGTGTATAACCATCCATATATTCCTAATTAAGCAAGTGTTTACATGAAAATCATACACTTTTATGTTTGTATAATATAACCATGAGGTACCAATGTGGGCACATATATAGGACAAATAAAAATGCCATTTCCAACCCAAACATAATCATTGATGATTAAAACATCTTTTGTTTCATAAGTTCTAAACAATTAAAATGTATGCGCACAACCACTGCAAAATTGCTTGGGTGGGCTTTAGACTTAATGCACATTTGCCATATGACACCAAGCAACAATTTAGATTAGACTCTTATTCAAAAGGTCTGGTTTTAACAGCAACTTGTGTCAGAATTCTCACCAACCGTACTGTCTATGAAGTTTTTTCTCGCTTTTCCGTCTCTTCATCACGTCCATTCACTGTTTGATTCATCCAACCACTCATATTCAACATTGGTTAAAAATGCATCATAAAGTCTCAGCTGGCTAATAAATGTGCACTTACTTGAACATTCGTCTCTTTTATTGTCATGACTAGCCTATCACTACTCTATTGTCTCTACTCCTTACTTGCTTGCAGCGGTTCCACACGGCCAACAGAGCAAGCAATGGAGGAATTCCTATTCGGAGCTATGCTCTACGCCTTCTTTCTATTACTTTCAGAAGCTAAAGCTGCGCAACTCGTCGTCCGATATCATTCACTCTCTCACTTCTTTACGCTCTCCTACTTGCAGCTCTCGTCTCCGCCTGTATCTCTCTCCATTTGCCTCTCAGCTCATTCATCTGCCTTCTCTCACTTCTTATCTCTTCCGGCTCATCGCTCTCGTTTCGCATTATCAGCTTCAGATCTGCTGTGTCTCTATTCTCTGGCTACTCTCTCTTTCTCACGTTCTCTATTGCTGAACTCTCTTATTTTGACATCCCTTGTATTCTCATGCTTATTCTCACTTGTCCTCAAACTACAATACCATCCCCGCACTAGTGCTTGAAAGCCTTGTATTTCTCCTAATTTCTTAAATAGCATGGGAAATTAACTAAATAGTTTATTCCATAATTCATTTATAAAACCTCTTCACAAGTATTGAAAATAAAATCCCAAATTAGACCAAATAAGAGCTCAGATGTATATCATAACTGACTAATGTCATTTTTAAGTATCTACACTTTTCTAAAAAATTTACATAAAACTGGATATAAACCAGCTTCCATCCATAAGAAAGCATTCTCCAACTTTGTCTGAAAAGGAATTTGTTTTATTGGCCCATTAAAATACTAGCAATGCCCATTATAATTACCCACTATGACGCAATCTGTTTCATTCTGGCGTGACGAATCTAGCCTGTTATTTCCAAAGACTGTGGCAAGGCCGGTCTTTCTCTTTCTCGTATGTTTTGGCCTGGGATTGTTGTTGTTGATGTTGTTGTTGTTATGGGGTGGGATACCTGAGATTATTCCTGGGGTAGTGGAGGAGGAGGAATAGGAAGAAGAGGAACGAGGAACACGATGAGGAGGAAGAAGAAGATGTACAATTAGAGAGGATATACGAGACGTTATCCAGATGTGGAACAAAACGAAGGGAGGAGGATGAGTTGACCATTGTTAGTGATTGTGAAACAGCTACTGTTAGCTGAGGGAAACAGGTCATGCCCGGAAAGGTTGCACGGTTTGATGGAATAGTGTATGGAGGTCTTCTTGGCGTGGTGAACACCTCCCCATCATAGACAGCGGCGCACCCAGCACGTCGATCCGCCGTCAATCAGAAGGTAAACAGACCAGGAAACCGAGAACCCATCCCTAAGCAGCGCGTGGGGAAAACTCGCCTCCCATAATCACCATGAAATGCATCGTGACTCCTCATATGCGGACTCCCCCTGGCCGGCCAGATCGGTAAAAAGAAATCACGTACGAATGAAATCCATATCAGTGACGCAGATTCACACGGGAGAGAGTCTTCCAGACCAGGAGGGAAAATGCCAAAAGTTGGAAGTTAATCATGCGCTCAACTCACAACCACACTCGCGTCACTGCCGTCCTGGCTGGCGCACTCCTCTAATCCTCGTCGAGACTGACGCTCTCTCCCGCCGACTAATGACTGCGGCCCAACACACTGAACCCCACATCCGCACTGTGAACAGCGAGCACGGCACGTCTGCGCAGCCCTCCGGCATGCCCGCCAATCATACAAGCTCGTCTCTCACTGCTCTCCCTCGACTCGCTCTCTCCACGCTTCTGTGCACCACCCTTAGTGTCACACGGACCCCCTACCGCATTCTACGCCTATTCACCAACACATCCACGCCGCCGACTCACACGCTTATGTCGGGCCCGTCGCCACTTAACTACTCCATTCACCCCCACGCACTCACGCGCTCGCGCCCCCCTCCCCCGCCGCCCCCCGCGGCTCGCTCGTGCCTCTTCTCACACACCACCCATATGCAAACATACAGTAAGAAACATATCACATTATATCTCCCCCAACAGCACACCTCCTAAATTCATCTCACTTCCCACCCACAGACTGAGCACATCGGCACCAAAAGAACCACACTTCCACCACTCCCACATAACTCCAGTCTTTCACACCAGGCATCGCAATTGTCGGGGACGCAAATTACCAACACACAAATCTCCAACCTTTCCCCATCACAGCAAAGCACCCAGATACCACAAGACTGCGCACGATTTCACCACGCACAGCAAGGCACCAGCCAAGGTTAACGCAAAACCCAATTTATAACGAAAATCCTCCCGCGCACCACGTCAGCCACACACATCAAACGCGCGTCCACAGTGGCCACTCCACCGGTGCCACCAGCATCAACTCACTAGCCGGCACAGTCTCCAGCCCAGGCCGCATGGCCGCCATGGCGCCCTCAGCCCCACCCGACCCTAGAACACACAACCGGGAACACCTATGACACAGCACCAGGGATATCACGAACGCAAGTACGTACATCCAACAAAACAACAGAGATCACCCACGAGAAACAGAAATGAGAGCACCGTCACAGCAAGTACTTGGATAAGAGGTGAAGAAAAATCAAACATTAAGAAAAATAGATCTAACATCATCAGACGACTCCAATAATCAGAGTGGTGAGAATGAGTAGGCAAGAACTCAATATAAATAAACTATAGTGACATATATAAAATACAACAAATTACAACAACGTCAGCTTCAAAACAGATACATTCTCGGATAAATAACTACCCTAAAAGAGAGTCTGATAACAACACCACACCAATCCTAACAAGATAAGCAGTGCGTAGCAAAGAAGGAGAGAACAAATAAATTGCTCAAAACCAATTAATCGTAGAATAAAAAGAACAAAAAGAAAAAAACGAATAACTACAAAACCAATTTGAAGTAAAAGTGCATGTTGTCAAATTTCAGAATATCCTGCAACAACATTAATTAGACTCAAAATTCAAAACTGAATGAAAAACGGAAAGTACACTAACTGAATCTAGAATCTCTGACAAGTATAAGTAAAAACTAGCAAGGTGATGCTATCAAAGAGTCAACTAAAATAATCTTAATTGAAATGGTAGCAATAGATTTGCTGGTCTGAGACGTTAGCTATAGAAGATGATGTGTAGTAATCTGCCTGGGGTTATTCCGAAGTGGACCAGATTCTGCAATAGCATCACTCTGAGTCTCTAGTTCTTGGAGATATATATCCAAATTTATATAAAGATATACACATTTATCAGCCTTGTGAAAAAGCTGAACACTGAGACAATGCAAAGTCATCTCTTTTCAATACAGAGCACACAGGGGAACGAACGCACTGGCACACTGTCACCCCACCCAATGTCGCACAACGACAAGCAATCTTGCACCGATTCTGCTGCAAGCGAATATACTAAGCAAAAGCCTCGCATTGAAAACAGCAAAAAGAAGACAGTCCATAATGTTAAATCTTAAACAGAACAAAAATGATACTAGACTCTAAAACATAAACAAAGACCTATTTTTAGATATAGCTTTATTTACTATTTACATACTACTCCAATTCCAGCATAAAACTATATAATCTGATATTGTTTCTTTCCCCGAGCATATACATGCACCCTTTATCGCATATGTCATATAAAAATCGAAAACGATCTCTTAAAAATCAGGCTCAGACAATCAACACAACAAACCAACGACATATCGCTATTATTCTTCTGTAGGCATATGGTACTACCTCAAATGAACAAGAACTCTGATAAGAAAACCACATTCGCTCCTTTGCACGCGCATCTTCCCAATGGCTCCTTACCGCACGCGTGGGGGTTTCTTTCAGTCACAGTGAGAAGGCCTGTTCTCCTTTGAATCTGATTGGGCGCCGTTCCATCTTTCTCTGAGCCTCCTGAACATTTTGCCCACAGGCTCTCTCTGACTACCACCTCTGCCCGATATGTACCTGTGGGACATGCAATGCCGCTCAGATATAACTATCAATCTATATCTTATAATTAATAAAGAATTTGAAAAATAAAATCTTACATCAGCATTGGATATTAATGTTACATATATCTTTATTAACAGATAATAATAGCTATCATATTGTGTATACAATGAGGTTATTGTCATATTGAGGTGACTGGATGCTTGAGAAAAATTTAAATCCTTTGGCGAAATTGCCTAAAATTAGGAAAATTATCGGAGCATATCCTGTAGTCTCAGAAAAAATCCTTTGTGATGGGAAATACTTTTGAAAATCCTATATGTGGGTAATTGCAGTGCCTGACTCAGAAGTCTACATTTTGCCCATCAGGCCACGGCAATTTCATTCATTGCTTCTTGGGTTTTTTCAGAAAAAAGAAGTGATAGGGGGAAAAAAAAAATAAAAAAAAATTTTGGGGTGAAGTTCTAGGGCTTACAGAACATAAAGAATAACAGGATTATTCCAGTTTTCAGCATTTAATGGCATGTTTTATGTAAGTTTAGTTTAGTTCTGGAGTTTAGAGCAAACAACAGAACCTAAGTTGCCATATTGTTTTGAAAGATAAGACACTTCCTGATTGGTTGTCCTCTAGCATGTGCCTACAAAGCTCTCTGATTGGTTTCCGGCAGCATGTGCCTCGAATAGTGGCAATATTTACAAGTTTGTGAAAGTAAAATCTGTAGTGGTTTCTGGTCCGACCTTTTTTTTTATATATAAAAAATTGAAGCGGCGAATCCGAGAAGCAACAAATAAAATTGGAGTGGCCTTATCTTTCAATGACTTTAGTAACCTGGCTACCTTGGAATGAAAAATGCAGTTTTGTCAATCTTCTCCGAGCTTTTCTTTTCCTTTTTTGGACAAAAATGAAGTACTGCACAACCTTTTATGAAACTACAGAAACTGTGAATGCCAGAGATGGTACAGAAGACTTCAAGACAAGGGATTGATTCTTAAAAATTATCTACTGTCAACAGTTAAGGTCATTAGCAGCAATCTCGAAGCTTTTGTCTATCTTTTTTTAAGGGTTATGTATACCATTTTTCATGTTTTTTATTCTCCAACTTTAGATAGAAAAACAAGCTAGTTTGGATTTTTTTCTGGTTTTTGATGGAATTATAGCTGTAGGGCTTGTTAATAATAGGATTTACTTTCAACATATGGTAAGAGGTTATGTTTCCACTTTATGTGACAAAGATATTATCTTATGCTTTTCAACTCTTCTTATTCTGAGAGAATGTTCTTCTGGACAGAACAAAACTTACATATATAAGTTATGGAACTCCCACAACATGTATCAGCCAGAGCAAATCAATTTCTTTTTTTTCAGTATACACTCCCCTTAAATTAAATATGCCTCAGCGTGAAGCCAATTTTTTTTCTTTTCCTGTGCTGGAATGGTGAAATGCCTTAAATATAGACTTATGGTGCAAAAATACAATACAATCAAACAACAGGAATCCCTGTAAGGAGATACACTAAGTACATCCCTTAACTTGTCCAGTAACTTACTTAGCAACGTCTAAAGGATCAATCTCATCTTTGTGCACAACAATTTGCTCATCGTCCTGTTGAGGCAGAGGCTGCGAGTGGCCACCCATCCCTCTTACCCCAAGTCCCATCTTGAAAAAGAGAGCATATCAAGTCATATTAATATTATCTATAATAACAGAAATTGAGGAAATTTTCTTCCAATTCCCATGCCAAACAGAAAAAATCCAGAATTGATTATCAAAATACTGAAATTATTGATTTATAAAATCACTTTTTACAATCCAATAATTTCTAAATACCAAGCACCCTTTAAATACATCGTGGTGATCTTTACATTTCTACCTGGCATCACAAGAACATACCAGGTGTTAAAATCTCCCAGAATTGTATAGGTCACTTGGCACCAATAAATAATGATGAGAGCAGAAATGTTATTCATCAGGATTTAATATTAGTTTCATCTCATAAAATTGTAACATATAATTTGGGTATCTCAAATCACCTGTGTAATTTGTTCTTGACTATTAGGATGACTCCAACCTCCTTCAAACTGGCGCTGGAAGTACATTTGTAGATTGGCCCCTCCATCCGATGCACGTCTTCCTAAGCCACTGCCTGTAATGAGAATGTATAGAAATATTTGACATATTTGACATCAAGAAATCATTTGAAAATAAATAAATAAATTAATAAATAAATTAATTAATTGATTAATAAAAAAAAAAACACTTTTCTTCAAGGCCTGGAAAAAGAGTAAAATATCTTAAAACTTAAAAGTGGAACCCTTTCCAAGAAGTTTCAATGTCTAGTCTCTATCTTCAGGGAATATTTTCAATATTACTTACAGCTGTTGCATTCAGTGCACTCTTAACTGTATTGATATATAGTTCTCCAATACAAAAACAGCAACTCAATATTCATTTGTTACCTGAAATTAATATTCACTAAAAGGTCTTAACTACTAAAGTGGTACTTTCATGCCCATGCTAAATATATCATGCATTATGTTATGACATATAGTCAAAATTATCAATTTATTCCTTTCTTACACTAAATGCAGTAAATCAAATTATCATCAATTTGGTTTACATAGGCCTAAAATACTAAAGAAAGCCATAGCAAACATGACCTAATGCCTCTTTGAATCTATCAGTATATAAATCCTATCACTTTATGATAAAATGAGCAATTTCCAGTTTCTTAGAAGTCAGACTAACAAAGAAAGAAGCCTGTTACTCTTAAAGCTTAAATGATAAATCATATTATTACCGGTGTTCTTATTCTCATGCTACCGTAACTCACCAGTACCCATGCATGGAGGTGGTTTCAACAGATGTTGATCTTTTGTTGAGAAGTTCTGTGGAGGCAAATCCTGCACCAGAGGAAGGTTCTGTGGAAGATTGGTCTGGGGCAAGATGGACACTGGTGGTTGTTGGTGGGTACCCACAACACATCCCCCTGGGCCAAATAACTGGAGCTGACCTCTCACCTGGGGATTTAGGAATGGCAGGTGGGTTACTCATACTGTCAGAAACCCTTAGGTAATAGAGATGATTATCAAAGGAGTTCCTTGAAAATCAAAATCACACTTTACACTGACTGCAAACAACACGAATGCATATATGATATTGAGAGAGTCCCCTAATTCTTCCCATTTGATAACCATCAATTCAGTCCTAAAATCTCAATTGCCATTTGGTTGAGGGTCAGGTGATGTAAACATGCCATCGTGAATGAAGGCCTGGGTGACAGAAAAGAGTGCACAAGCCTCTTGGGAATGTCATTTGACTCATTTGGTACTTATAAGGGGGTTTTAGCATTATTCCCATCAATATACGAACATGGAATGTTATGTGCATAAGCCGAGACTAGAAGAGCGCCAGTTCCATGCTGTGCATCATATTCCTGGCCCCTGTGACCAGTGGTGCAGGTTGTATCACAAAAAATTGAAAATTCCCAAAGAACTAGATATATGACACAAATAACCATATGTTCCAATTTTTTTTTTCTTGCATTCAGCTAAGGGGGCCATTGCAATAAATATTTTCAAAAATACTAATTTTTTTTTTTTTATCTGTAATCTAGTAGGCTTTGGCAATCCCGTGATGTAATATTTTTGCTAAATCTGTAAAAATAAAGGAGTTATAACTAGATCTCTAACTGGGACTCTGGGAGACAAAACTCCACCAGAAAATCAGAGAGAAATGTTGCCACCTCCTACCTCCACGACACCATCTCGCAGACATACGCCCTCATCACACACTAAGGGGGCACAACTAATGGCAAATGTTATTTTTGTATCTAATAAACATAATATGATAAGAAATACTTCTCAATCACAGCTGAAGCAGTTGTTTATACATATGAAATGCCTCACGTGGTCAGGTTAGGCACCACAAAGCCTGTGATGACACACAGTACTTCTACAATCATGTGCAATTATTACTATTAGTACTTTGCAAAAGGGGTGGACCAGGTACCAGCTACACTTCAGAATACCATGTGAATGCCATAGAATGCATCAAGATTGACGCAGAAATAAGACCTCCTAAAAAAATAAAATAAAAAATAAAAAAATTTGAGGGAAAAGTATCCTGAACTTCGGAGCCTGATATCTCAAAACTATCAGAACTACACCTTTGTCCACATTTTTTTTTAGCTTCTCCATAACTGAAAGCTGAATAAATCTGCAATTTTTCTGTTGATGACGATCTTTATTTTACGTAATAGAAGTCCATATATTTTATCTTATGTTCATAAGAATAAACATTTAGAAATAAAGAAATTCCCACTAAACTAAGAGGAAATTCCAAAATCC